TCAGATGCCACCTGACTCAGCCAGGACTGGAGTTACCTAGAGGAGCAAATTCTAGCCTTAGTCTTGATGAGCAATGATGGTTAAGCCAAGGGTGCTTTGCTGTTGTAACCCCAAAGTCGGTGGCTTAAAACAACACATTATTATAACAAATTTGTTATGTAGATAACGAAGGTACTGTCTTACAGTTCTGGAGGTCAGAGTCCAAACTGGGACACAGGGGTGTCAACAAGTCAAGGTGCTGGCTTCCTACCTGCAGGCTCTCAGGGAGAATCTGTTTCCTTGCTTTTTCCTTTCCAGCTTCTGGAAACTGCTGGCATTCCTTGGCTGGTAGTCCCTTCTCTCTCCAAGTCTTTCTTTGACGTCTCTTGCTTCCCTCTTTCACATTTAAAGATCCTTTTGATTGTGTTGGCCCCACCTGGATGATGCAGGACAACCTTATTTTGGGGTCATTTGGTTTTCAGCTGTGATTCCATCTGCAAGAGTAATTCCCCTTTGGATGTAATACGACATATTCGCAGGTCCTGGGGATTAGGATTTGGACATCTTTGGGAGACCATTATCATGCCTAGCACAGGCACCAAGAGCCTGAAGTTGAGAACAGAGCCCACATAGGAGACTTCTAAGGAGTTTAGATGTATGTCTGAGAAAAATCCCTCTGGGGCCAGGTGGGCAGTGGTGGGGTTAGGCAGGGAGGTCAGCTGGAGGGTATTACAGTGGTAAAGCCCGTGAAGGACAGCAACAGTGAAGCCCTGTTCACGTGTGGATTTCCCTGGATCTCTTACTCTGAAGAAGAAAGGGGTCTTTGCCATACCCAGTCCTAAAGAGCAGCCCAGGAAGTCTCACCCTGATGAACACGAGTGGAACCTCAGCCCTGACCCAGCCCACCACGGCCTCCTTGAGGCTTCACACCTGCAGGGGTACAGGATTCTGTCCTGTTTTGTCGAGAGGAAGTCACAGAGCTGGAAGAGCCTCTAAACCCAGCTGTCAGGAGGGGCTCACCCCTGCCCGACTTTACCTCCACATTCTTGACCCTGCAACCAGGGAGGTGTTCCTCTCTGGGACAGGCTGGATTCTGGAGTCAGTGGGCCATTAAATAACATGTTTTCCGGAAAATTACCTTCCTTAAAGGAAACCACTTGTTCCAAGGAGTAGAAAAGGGTCATTGTGCCTTGCCAGGCCCCCACTCTCCTTAGGACATGGCACAAAGCTTCTGTCTGGGGAAACCCAGGGCAAATTAGATCCCCAGGTGTTCTGGCCTTCCCTTCATTCTGAAGATAGCAAATGGGTCTGCTGACAGGTGGCCGGAGGCAGACCCCATTTATGGACAAAAAGGACAGTTGAGCTTTGTGCCTGTGGGTTCCTGCCCCAGCAGTGCTATAAGACTTTGGGTCCGAAGTGCCTCACAGTGGGCAGCTAGGTTCCTCAGCTACAAAATAAAGGGGATGGAGTGGCTGTGAGCACTGAGATCTGTAGAAAGCCTGGAGTTCTGCACATAGGAGACGTTGAGTAAGTAGGAACAGGTAACAGCAGTAGAAGGAACAGAGAGAACACTGGATTTGGAAACTGGGTTCAAGTGAGGCTCCACCCCAGATTTCTCAGGTGACCTTGAGCAGCCCCTTCCCTTGCTGCCACCAGATAAACACTCCTGGCTTTGCTGGCATTCTGGTGTCTCTGTCCTTGCGCTGCCACCTCCTCCCCTGGGACACAGAGACGCTTGCTGCCAGCCTATTCCAGAGCCTCCCCTCCCTCCCACCCCACCCTTACACAATCACACAATGGGCTGCGCTGGGCAGAAGGGCAGGAGCACTGGGGCTGCCACACACCACACCACACACACAACACACACCTCATGCACATACACACCCATGCCACACACATCACACACACACTTCACTCTCACACCACATAGCCCATGCGTGCTCTGGCACCCACACACTCCACATACATAAGAGAAGTATGATTATAGGAGCTGCTCGTCCCTTCTCTGGGTCATCCTTCCCCACTATCCTATCCCAGCTACCCCATACCCATCTTTCAGCAGATGCTCCTGCTTCTCTGAGACAATGGACCATCCGGCGTGACATGCTCATCTCCCTTCTCCCCCAGACAGGCAGACACACAGCAGTTATCCGCATCCCTGAACATCCTTCCCAGCACCATTGCTGCATCCACACACCACCACCTGGGCCTGACCCCCCCAGACCCCCTTCCTGAGTTCTGCCTCCCAGGCCCATCCTGGGGAGACCTCTGTGGGTCTTTTCCTTGCTGGTGTACTGTTAGTGTCTCCCTCTCCAATCCTCCTTGCTCAACCTCCCTCCTATTCCTAAAAATAATAATCACCGTTGCCTCAGTGTGGCACCATTCGGCCAAAATACATGGCTCCTCTTCCCTTCAAATTATCTTCAACAATAACCTCTCCTTCCTCAGCTCCCATTGATCCAACTGCCCCTGCACGCAGAGCCCCTGCACACAGAGCCCCTGCACACATGCATGCACCCTAAACACACCACTGTAGGGCCACTCCTTCACTCCACTCAAACTGTTCTCACCAAGGTCACTGTCAATTCTCATGTTGCAAAATCCAAGGTCTCAGCTCTGTGCTCACCATCTTCAGCCCCCCCACCCCCGAAGCTTTCAACCAGCTGACTCGTCCTCTCTGAAAACCACTTTCTCTCTTGCAAGGTTGCCAGATAAAATATAGAACACCAGTTAAAATAGACTCTCAGATAGACAACAAATAATGTTTTAGTATAATTATGTCTTACATATTGCATGGGACATACTTATACTAAATACTGGTTGGTTGGTTGGTTGGTTGGTTTTTTCTATCTGAAATCAAAATAACTAGATGTCCCGCATTTTTATTTGATAAATCTGACAACCCTACTCCCTGCTTCTCTGTCCCATGTGCTCCCCACCTTCCTACCCCTTCTTCAGCTGCTCCTCCTCAGCCCCCACCTTAGATCAGCCTGCTCCAGGGTGCTGGCCTTGCCTACCTTCCCTTCTCAAGCTCCTTAATCTCTGGGACAGCTTCTCCCACACCGTTAAGCCCAGCTCCACTCGCGGCTGGCCTTGTCCAGAGTCTCAAAAGAACTTTTCTCTAGCTCCTTTGTAGCAACAGCAGATTGCAGTGTTGAGGGGGAGGTGTACGTGTGTGTGCTTGGAAAGACTACCTGCCCAGCGCAACGAGCAAGGCTGCCTCTTTGTTGCCTTCATCGTCTATTGCCCAGAAACATGCTGGCCAGATGTGGCAAGAAGCGCTTCCCTTGGGAGCTGGCTGTTGTCCAGCCTCATTTCCTCCCACTGAGCTGCCTACTCTCTACCCCCACATGTTCTCTGAATCACCACTTGTCCTGCTGCCTCTGGAACACCCTTTCCCAAACTCTCCCTGTTGAAGTGCCCTCTTTTCTTCAGGTCTAGCTCAAAAGCCACCTCCTCCCAGTTTCCCCTGGATCTCCCAGCTCTCCCTCCCTTGAACACCTGAGTACGTTATCTGCAGCCTTGTCCAGGTCACTAAATTAGGAGTTCACCAAGTACTGGGACCATATCTGGTTGACTCCCATGTTCCCCAGGCAGAACCTGGTACACAGTCAGTGCTCGGCCAGTGTGTATTGAATAGAGAAGTGAATGACTAAATAAGAGAAAAAGTGACCGAATGAACGAACAAATGCTTAAGTAAGGAAGGAAGGAAGACTTATTGAGCAGATAGAGTGGATGGAAGGATGGATAGATGGATGGATGGGAGGGAGAATGGATGAGTGGATAGATGGGAGGGAGAATAGGTGGGTGAGTGGGTGGATGGTTAAGTGGGTGAATGGGAGCAGGTGGGTGGATGGATGTATGGATGAATGGGTAAGTAAGTGGATGGATGGATGGAGGGGTGGATGGGTGGATGGTAGATAAGTGGGTGGATTAGCAAGTGAACAAGTGAGGAAAACTCAGGGCTTGACAGACTGCCCATTGCCGGAAGAGTGAGGTCAAGCTCCCCACCATTGCTTTGTTTTCAGAGTCACGTGATTCCAGCCTGCAGACCTTCCTTTCACTGACCCAGAGAGGTTGTGACCATGCAGCACAGGGACAGAGCTCCAGGCCTGGGTCCTGATACTTGGGTCCAGCTGAAAGGCACCTGACCTGGACCAGAGCTGACTTTGCTCACCCCTCCCAGACCTTGTACTTCTATCTCTGCCCATCTGGAGCTTCCATGCCCAGATATTTCTTTGTGTCTAGATATGCTCGCCTACCTCTGATATCTGGGCACATCTGAGAACAGGCCCCTGCTGAGTTCTGAGAAAGGCACCACCCAGGACCCCTTCAAGGAAGGACTTCAGGGTCAGCCTCAGCCGCAGAGCTGCTTTGCCGAGGTCAAAACTTGGGGGACAGGAATGGGGGTGGGCAGCACTCAGAGACCGAGCAAAAGCAGAAGGTGTGTATTAAGGGCCTGCATTATAATTTGACTTTTTCCTCTATCTAGTCCTGCTTTCTCCACCCTCCCCTCACAGATGTTGACCCCTATAAACATCTTATACCCCAAGCTTTGTCTCAGTATTCATTTGTGGGGAATGCAAGCTGCAACAGTTCCTTTCCACTTGCATCTACGAAGGCCCTGTTTGGGAGCTTTCGGGTCCAGAGTGACCAAGACAAGCTCCCAAGAACTCCTGTTCCTGGGCTGTGCCTCTCCCTTCCCCATTTCCCCTATTCCATCCCTCTCTACCAACCTGACACTCTCCCTGCCCCCTTTCCCCCCCTATACCTCTGCAGCCCCAAGCCTCTCTCTGAGAGTCCTTCCTGTGGCCAAGATGGCCTGTCTAGGTACCTTAGAGCCCAGACCCTTATCAGGGTCAGTTTTGCCACCCTCAAAGAGAGTCCTAGGAGAACCATCCATTCAGGGCTGAATGGAGACATATAAGCGAGGAGACCCAGAAGTTTGCACCCCTCAAACTGTACTGTAAATATGGTACAGCATTTATTTCCCAGTACAGAAAAAAAAAAGCAGATTTTCTGTTAATAAAAACTGAACATCTCTTTATTTGTGATGAAAACAAGAGCTTTGTTACAGGCTCTTTTGATGTAACATAAGATTTTAACTTATTTGGGATTATCTTTCAGTTCATGATTTTTCTATCATTCCTAATGATGCAAGTCATTCACATTCTCTAAGAGCACAAGTGACCTATAAGAAGTAATATAGTCTCATTCAAAATATGTTTCAAAGTTTTCTTTCTGGCTTTCCTGTTAATCAAACAGCTTGTACTTTCTGTGACCATGTTTTTTTCTCTTCTGTTTCATTTTGTAGTTTTCAACACTGGTTCTTGAGAAACCTATATAAGGATATACATTTTCAATAATAAAATAAATTCTTCGTTCCCAAGGAAGCAGTCTTTTGGTTGCAGAACTGCAGGTCTAATTTCAGACAATCGGCAGGGGACAGGTCTCAGGGCTGAGTTCTGTGCGTTGTGCCCTGGCAAGGAACCAAACGACTCCCTCAGCAGAGCATATAAAAATGTAAAAATGTCCACTCGAGGGCACTCTTTCTTCTGGTGGCAACAGAACCGGTTTCACCGGCATCCTGGGGTAACCTGAGTGAACTAGCCCTCTGTTCCTGATAAACTCCAGTCATACCGCCGTTAGTCTGTAGAGCTGGCCCCCGTGCAATCTGACCCAGTCACTCACTCTTCAGGACTCCCCTAGGCCCCATCCTGTGGGCAGGGTCCATCTGAGTTATCAGGGGTCGGAGCTGAATTCCACCTGGTCCTGGCCCTGCAGATCTACCAGGCTGGCGGGCACAGCAAGCTGGGATGGGATGGCACTGGGAGTTTGCCGAATACAACAGGCAGGGAAGGCCAGGAAGGCCAGACTTGAAGTAGTGGAACAGCAGGAAGGCTTGCTGGTGGGTGAGTGGGTCTGACCCATCAGCAGAACAAATCCTAGGAACCGAGAGGCCTCACATGAAGGTCCAGAAGTCCCGGGCACCCACCACTGCCGCAGGCTGGGTATGGCGACCCAGGCCTGTGAAGAGAGAAGCCTCCTGGCGAAACGTGGCCACCGTGAAACTGTGGCCAGGGCCCCCCTGAGGATCCTGGGCCCTTGAGTCACAGCTAAAACAGCACAGGAGGCAGGTGATGGCTACGGTGACCACAAACAGCACCGCCACCACTCCAATCACTGCTGTTTCCATGGCCCGGCACAGCAGCTGACCGGCTGAGCAACCAGGGGTGTGTCTTAGAGTCTTAGCTCCCCATACGCACCAGGGGGTTCTGGGTGGTAGCAGGCACCCCACTCTTCCAGCCGCGCTCCTTGTGGGCTTCTAGGCAGATGCTGGTCTGAGGCCCTGCAACACGGCCCCACTAGGCCGTTGGGTGATCCGCATTGCACCAGTCAGACCTCAGTTGGTCTCTGTTACTGTTCTCTAAGCTTCTGGCCAGGATCCCAAGTGCCGCGGTCAACTCCAGTGGCAGCTCCTGGAAGAAGACCTATCCTGAAAGATGTGAGCTCAAGACTCCCCGGACTTGGAGGGGCTGAGCAATAGGGAGCAGAAGACTTTGCTCAGAGATAACCTTGCCAGCCGGGCCCTCTGGTGCCGCCTACCCATTTCAAGAGACTTTGTCTGCTCAGACAAAAGACAAAATACTCCCCCTCCTGGGGCTCCAGGATGAGCCTGGGCTCCTCCCCCGCAAGAACCTTGGGCCGGTCCTTGAGTAGGCCTATCTGCCGCCTCCTGAGCTCCTGGCCTCAGGCAGGAGGCAGACAGGCAGGTGGGGAGGAAGGCAACGCCAGCCCTGGGCAAGGTCGGGGTGGGAGCGCTACACGGTCACCTTGAGGGCCATGGGGCCTTCGGCGGGGGTTGCAGTCCCTTCCTACATGGGACTGGAAGAGGGCTGTTTAGAGAGGGCGGGCTACGCTCCCCCCAGGACCTGACCCGCTCCAACGACTAACATCCGGGCTCCTTTGCCCTGTAGTTCCTGTTCCCGAGAAGCCCTCTTCTGCACGGCCTCCCCCCAGTCCTCCTCCCCGCAGGCTCACTCAGCCTGCTGCCCACACTCAGGTGCTAGGACAACTTACCCCGGGCTTCCCCGAGTGACAGCGCTGGCTGTCCGCGGTGCCATGGCCTTCTGACCCGGGGGCCACCCCACGGGCCACCCCACGGCACACTCATCCCTGGGTGCTACAGCCTTTGTCCTGCTTCCGACAAGGCTCCGAGATGTCTGACGAGCTGTGAGCACTTCCTGAATTCCTTCCTCCGATTGTGTGGGCCCAGGACCCGCACAGCTGCCAGCCCCCTCGGTGACTGCACTCACCCCACCCCCACGCACACCCACGCCGGTCCTGCCCTGCGCAGTCGCAGTTGTGTTCTCCGCTCAGCCTTTCCGGGTGAAGGGTGAGTCCGGCCCAGCCGCTGAGTCCGCCGGGAGAGCTGCGTCCTCTCCCTCAGTCACAGCTCTTCTACAGCTAACCCCCTGCCCTACCCCACTTCCAGAAAGGAGGCTCTACCCAAACTATGAGGAATAGGACAGAGAGAGACAATGCTTCCGGGTGCCAGACACAGCCAAGCATTAGCTCATTTAATGGTCCAGCAACGCTGGCAAGTGATATTGTCTACATTTCACAGACAAAATGCAAATAGTGATAACCACCTGCCTGCAGCCTACTGCTGATTAGCCGTAGTGATAACAAGAGCACCAAATGGTTGAAGGGGAGGCTTCCCTCCATTCCCTTCTAGCTCAGTGCTCTTCCCGGGTACCACAGGGCCACGAGGCAATCACCTCTTTCTGCGGCTTTACTGATCTGAGTGCGAAGACTCAGAGAGGGCAAAGGGCCAGCCTGAGGTCACACAGCCTGGGTCTTTTGCAAGCTGTCCAAGGCCCCAGTGAATTTTCTTTAGTACCAGTTTTAGGGAGATGCTTAAGCACAGAATGAGTGACTATTGGGACTCCATGAAGCCTGTCAAACTCACTCTTCCTTTTTCCTGGAAGAGCTCAGGGCTCTTCCTCTGTGTGAGCAGTGCTGGGTAAGCTGGGCCTGTGGCAGGAAGCTGAACACCTCGAATTGTTGTTATTAACTGGGGCAACCAGAGCAGAGAAGGAAACATGAACCAATCTGTGGTGTGTGGTTTCAGACTGAATTACCAAAATCAACTCACCAATTCAGGATGTAGAAGACACTAGAGGAATCAGGTTTCAAGCTGAGTTATTTGTTTTCTGACTTCTGGTTTGCCTGTTCTTTGTGGATGCAGAAGAGTGGGAGGCCATCTATGATAGATGTGTGCTTTTCAGCAGTTTTAAACTGGAATAAAGGGCAATTGCTCAGCCCTCTTATCTTCCGCCTTGTATGGGTTTCCTTATCTGATTCTGAGATTTGGGGGCCCTTCCTTGATTCGTCAGTAAAACAGGCCTTCTGGTCTGTTCTCACAACAGGCATTCAGTATTTGAATGGATGCTGGTGGCACAGTGAGAGGGACCTGGCTTGTGTTGTGAGGACAGGCGTGGTCTGCTCTGAAGGCCTCTCGGGGTTTCACGTCACACAGGCTGTCTGCCATGTGGAATGACCAACACGGCGCCTCAAGCCCAGGGCAAAAGCAGCAATCTCATAAAGAAGGACGAAGTGTAGATGCCTTCACCACAGTGCCTGTTGCGTCCATCCCCTTACAGCCTTGTGTCCTGTGACAAGTGGCAGCAGCACAGTCAGGCAAGCTGGAAAGATCAAGACAGCCATACGTGTTTTTTGCCCACAGCTCAGAGATGTCCGTACTAAGGGTTTTTTCTGGGTATGTTCTCTTCTTCTTGTGACTATTGTCATCCTGCGACATACAGCCACTTCCCCGTGGACCCCAGATGCCATACGACTCCCCAAGATAACTATAACAATCACTTAGATATGTACCTGTCCTCCCATATCCACCATCAGCAACTGATCAGAAATAGACCACATCCCACACTTTCCCTTATATTAGCAAGGGCAAAGATGATGGCAGACATCCAAGAACAGAAAGGAGAGAGCTGTCCCAGAGACTCCAGGCCACACTGAGGTAAGGCAGGCCATCTGAGTCTTGGGGATCCACAGAGAGATGAGGGAGAGGGGATGTTCAAGCCAGCAGGCCACACATGTCCTTCTGTTAAATGTTTCCCCCTTCTCCGACCCCCAACACCAGGGATGGAGTGGGAAGCCAAGCTCCCTCAGCAAGGCCCCAGAAGCTCAGAGGGTTTATCCTCTCGGGGCTCTACTGCTATACTTGGTGTCCCATAAGCCCCAAGTTTCTGGCAGTGGTTATTCCAATCATATTTACTTTTCCAGAGAGCACAACGTTCTGAGAATTTTTCCTGAGCATCTGTTGTGTTGGCTGGTTCTGCGCTGGGGGCTGGGAGCCCTCAAAGTTTCTCAGATCTAGGAGGGTAGGGGCCCCCTGAATCCTGCCATAAATCTTGGGAGAAGAAGAAAATGTGATCATATTCCAACAGAACTAGAAAAATAAATACTAAAAGCAAACTGGAAGCCTATGGGAGGGAGTGACAACTTCTTCTTGAGAAAAGACTCAGAGAGGGGAAGGTATGAAGTGTTTTCTGGGGCCAATGATGGAGCAGCATGGACAGGACAAAAGAAGCAAGGGGTAGGAACTGGATCAGGGGGCTTTGAATAGACAACCGAGAGGCACAGACTCTCCCCCAGGATGATGAGGGGTTTCAGCAGATCCCTCAGACCATGCACAGACGCTTCAGAAAGGGCAGGGCTGGAGGGGGGCAGCAATCCAGGCTGGAGGGACAAGCTAGGGCAAACACAGGAGTGCAAGAGGGGAGGAGGATTTGAAGGACACAGCAGAGATAAAATCAGCAATACCTACTGACCCATGGCCCAGAAATCTAGTGTGGCTGTCAGTGTGAATCTGCCTCCCTTTCCCCCTCACACCCCCCAGCCCTCACAGAGACTCCACTGGGAAATAGAAAAGAAACAGGATGTTCTGTTCCAATGAGTCACCAGGCCCCTGACTTTCTGGCCTATTCTCAAGCCCCTCCCCACCACCTCTCCTGGCCTCCAAGGCTCTCCTCCCTCCACTTCCCACCCAAACACAGGCTGAAGGCCTCAGAACAAGATTTCCTTCCTCCCTGTGGAATTCTGCCAGCTATTCATGGGATATTTGAAACATGCCTCCAGGCTTTCGAAAGAAGGAGTCTCTGCTATCCCATTTTAGGGATGAGGCAACTGAGATCCCGAGGAGGCAAGCACTCTCCCAAGGCCACCTAGCACCACCTCCTCCAGTTAAAGAACCTCTCCATCCCTCTGGTATACACAGGCATCCATGGGCACAGGAAGCTGGAGACTCAAAGCTTGGATAAGAAACCCTGACCCAGTTACCAAGGAAATATTTAATTCAACACAGCCCGCAGAGTGGGGCTTCTGCAGGTCCCAGAGCTCAGTCTGCCCTGGAGATGGGCTGGGAAGATCGCTGGAGCCCTTGGGGGCCAGCCTGGGTGGCCTCATCCCTCTTCTCCCTGAGCCCCTGGACTGTCCCACAGAGGCCCAGAGCCCCCCCGGTACACAGAGAGCCCTCTCTGGGCAGGGCCGCATGCAAACCCTAAATCCTCCCTCAGAGCCTGGGTCCGGAGCTTTCTTTCCCTACTACCCTTGGAGCACCACAGGTCCCGCCCAGGTTCCCCCAGCACACAGCTGGCCCTCCAGCACCAGGCAGAAGGCACCTGTGTCAAGCATTCGCTTCTTGTCAGAGACGAAGGTCCCAGGGCAGTGCAGACACATGCCTGGCTGCTCCCCCTCCCACCTGTGTTAGTCAGGAGCCTCTTCATAAAAGCTTCTTAGCGCGTTTTACTTTCTTGCATCAAGGCATAAGTGAATTGACCTTGCAGCCTCATATTGCCTTCTCTCCAAATACAAGGGCATTGCCGGCCCCTCCCAGCTAGCCCCCTGGCCAGTACGTCAGAAGACAGCCCTTCAGAGAGCCCTGCACATCTTCTGTGCGTCCACGTGCACCGACATTCCCTGGGAGTTACAGGCACCAGGTGACATCTGTCCCCAAAGGAGACCCCTGCTCTCACCCCGTTACCCTCCAGTGTGCGCAGGGCCACCCCCAGTGGCCCTCGGTTCTCTCCTCATCGTACCCCGGGGCGTAGTATGCAGAAGCAGTCCAGTAGGAGCGGGGCACCCTCCCCAGCGTTTCCTGCTGAGAGGCGCCCCTCTGCAGGGGAGCACAGGGGTCCACGAGTCCGGAGTCCCAGGGACAGTAGGTAGGGCAGGCCTGGGCTGCCATTCACAGGTGTCAGCGGCGGCCTCGGCGGGCATGGTGGGCGTGGTGGTGGGCGTGGTGCTGGTGGAGGTGGTGGTGGTGGAGGCCCGCACGGTGCGTGTGAGGCACGTGGCCAGGATGATGGAAGTGGTGAAGGTGTCCCAGGTGGCCCTGGCGGGGGAAGAAGCAAGGCTGGGCCCAGCGGACGCGGTTTCTCCTGGCAGCCGGTCGGTTCCTCTCCACATCCACACGGAGGTCCTGCTGTCCTCGGCACAGGCAGGCAGCCAGCAGCAGCAGCAGGAGGACGGCCACAGCAGCGCCAATGATCAAACCCACGAGGCCTAGCATCTGGACGCTGGACGGGCCTTCCATCTGGCAGCTCCTTGCTGCTTTCTCCCCTTCGGCAGCCTCTGCTCAGCCTTCACAGTCCCGGGACCTTGTTGTCTCGGCTCCTGCGGGCTGGAGAACAGCCAGGGAATGTGGGCGCAGCCTCTTGGGCCGGAGCTGCCTGCCAAGTGTGAGGCCAAGCGACTGTTAACTCTGGGGAGGTCCATGGGGACGCTGCGTGGGGACAGAGGAGGCATCAAGCAGGGCTGTGGAAGGAAGAGCCCTGAGACTAGGGACAAGAGGTCCAGGCCCCCCATCTCTGCCACCTGGCCAAGTGACCAGGCCAGCCCCCTCCCCTCCCTGGCCTCAGCAACCACCACTCTTAGATAGGACAACATAGCGAGTAAGAATGTGGGTTCTGGAACAACACAACTCATTAGCTCTGTGACTGTAACACAAGTTACAGTAACACAAGTTACTGTGTTAAGTAACACAAGTTACTTAACTTCTCTGTGCTTCGATTTCCTCATCTGCAAAATGGCCAGTAAGAGTACTTTCCAGCATACACAGGGTTTTCTAAGGACTCAAGGGGTTAAGATTTACAAAGCGCTTACTAGTCCCTGACACATGTTTTCCCTCAATATTACTGCAGTGGAGTGTTGCCCCGGGAGACCTCAGCCTTTGTGAGTCTCTGGCTCCCTGTCTTGCCACCCGAGTCCTCCTGGACGGGGACAGGCCCTATGGAATGAATTGTCCTGTACTTCAGGAGCTCAGTGAGGTACTGCGGGCAGATCTGCATCATTGGGCAAGTTGAACCCTCTCTCTAGGTCTTCGTTGCCGCCGGGTCTGGGTGTTAGCCCACGCTCAGGAGGCAGGAAGGAGGCTGCTGAGCTCAGAGATGCCAGACTCTCTGGCTCCCGGCACCCGGTTCAACAGTCTCGACTGTTGAATAGCCCCTTCTGCCGTGGGCTTGTCAGGTCAGAGATGTTCTCATCCTCAAAGCTCCTCTGCACATGCAACTCTGCATCTCACTCCACCAGACCACAGATGCCCAGGGCCCTCCACAGTGAGGCCCCACATCCTCTGCGTCCTTCTCTGGTGCGCACTCATCTCCCTGCCACCTGGAGGAATGTTTTCAGCAGCTAGCCTCT